CGAACTGCAAATGAAAATATTTCGATAAATGTACAGCAAATTTGTTTTGCACAAAAAAAGTTAGGTGGGGAAAATTCACAAACAAAAACTAAAGGTGCAGAGTCAGTATGACATTTTGATTGTGTAGAAAAATGGGAGGTTATGGGAGAGTTTGTTTGCAACGGGATTTGTTTTGTGGGTATTTTCAATAATTTATCGGAGAAACTATTCACATATAATCTGGGAAAATCTGAAAAACAATTATCACCACCTTGCAGACGGGAAACCGCAATTAATGCATGCATTATCGAGTGAATTTCATAAACTGCACTGAAAATCCTTTCTGGTCCTTGAGAGTCGTTCCTAGACTTTAATACTGCTGTCATGGTAATCACCACTTGACTTATAGGAAAAACGCAATTAAAATTTTCTAGCGTAAAACCCATAAGCTGTGGCGAAAACCCCTTTTAAAGAACTTGAAATTTCAGGATTCGTAGGAACCGCCATCGACAGCAAATCCCTACTGAAAAGAGGAAATCGTTCAACGGCAAACAGTTTTCGCCAAAAAATTGTGGTTCCTAAAACTGGGAAAAGAAGGCCAGAGGTAGAGGACTTAAGAAAATGGTTTATCCTCATTTGGCGCCATGCACTTCGTTTGGTTCCTAATTGATTGGAATTAAAATAATTGGTCGGCAGCCGGCGCCGGCAAAGTGCTAAATACCTACCCAAGACCCACCTCCCACCGGAGCACTCTATCAATTCGCTGTCGGCCGTTGTCTATTTATTTTGTTATTAAATAATAAGACACAAATTAATGCAATTTGTTTACTCAACCCGACTCAGCCGAACTCAAGGCAGGCGGTCTCTCAATTAACCCCCCAAGAAGAATTGCCGGGCAAAAAATAAAATAAAAGAAGACTACTACGAAAAATACAATAAGCTGGGGCGAGAGAAGACAAAAACCTATTTCTATTTTCTGATTAGTCATTGTCTGGCCACGCGACAACCGAAAAGTAGAAAGCGAAAACGCATTAATTAAGCAGTTAAGGTCTTCCAAGATGACTGTCGGCCTATAAAAAATCCCCGAGAAGAGTGGCCCATCTCGAAACGTGCCCAGCCCAACTGGCGGCACCTCTGTGACCAGGTCTTCATAGCCCCTCAATCCGCCGATGGCCATTGACTTCCAGGTCAGACGATAACAATGCCAATACTCCAAACCTCTAACAAAACCTCAAATTTGACACCACATGATAAATGGTTCTCTGGTTTTTAGCTGCTAGTTTTTATTGATGCCTCCGGCTACCTGACCAAACTGGATGTGGCTGTCTTCAATTTGTTTTGCCTTCGCTTTTCTTTTCTGCCAGATTCAATTAATCGGCATTTACTTAAATTATCCGATGATGAAGGCCAATCAAATACTCTTTAGTGTAATTGGATTTGTGTCGGCTTTTCTAATGTAGTTTGATTATATTTAAGTGGGCCTCTTTTGTCTCAGAGGAGATCTTGTTTGTTTTACCCACATTAGGATGGTTATGTTTAAATGAAATGTATGAAACAAGTGGTTCACAACAAATAAAATAAAATTAAAAATATTTATATCCAACAAATGCAACAAATATTTACAAATGCCTCTGGACATAATATAATTATAATATGTACATTTATTTAATATACATATACAACTATATGATGATCCAGAAACTGAAGTATATTTTAAGTTTTTAATCTTTAAAATTATACAAAAGAATTTGCGAAAAAAACAACATTTTCAAAAACGTTGGGCCCACACAGAAGAAAGAGTGCCAGGCCCTAAAAACAATCAGACCTATGTGAGGGGAATCACATAGATGTATGGCGTAAATTTGCGATATGGGGCGAAATATTTTAATCATGAATTTAAATTAAAAGATAAGCTCTTCCGTGAATAAAAAATCTATGACCTATGTGGGGGGAATTACATAGATGTATGGAGTAACTATGCGATATGGGGCGAAATATTGTTATCATAAAATTAAATAATAAATAAACTCTTCTGTGAATAAAGAATAGAGACACAGGAATTAAACTCCCTTGTGAATACTTTTAACTATTATTTATTAAATATTTAATATTTTAGGAACTTTGCTTTTTTAAACTTTATGAAATTTAGGTAGTTTTAAACCTTTGTCCACCAGAACCCTCAGATACCAAAAGATCTTAAGTAGGTTTATTGTCGGCCAATGCTAACGGAATCATCATTGCTTTGCCTCAGTAATTAAAGCCCTCGACCGAAGAACGATCGTTATCCCAGCCTACTCACAATTGACTTTTCTTGTGCTAATTTAATTGCGGCCCGACTCCAGTAGCCCATTGACTGATAGGCCCCATTGAACTTGTAACCCCCAAAGGCCCCTCGGCCACCAATCAAAGTCAGTTAAGTTAAGTTTTCTACGTTCTGCCGGAGCAGCCAAGTCGTCGCCTCCATTCCACTGATTGATGGACTCGGCGGCTCTTCTGGTTTCTTCACAGGCCCCCGAGTGGGGGTTTACACATATTTTTAAGCTAATTACCCGGCGCCTCCGACTCCCAATCAAAGTGCTATCTCATATCGCCATTCCCGCAAACACTCACGTAAATTATTGGAAGGCGCAAAGAATTACTTGTCATACCCCTAAATACGTAAGTGCAAACGAGTCGAAACACTTGATAAGAGCTCAAGATAACCAAATGATTTTGTCGACACACAAAAACAAATAATTGAGTGAGGGCGAAGCGAAATCGAGTTCAACAATACAATCACTTGAGAATGTCAGTTATAAGACCACTCAGGCCGCTCTATAGAGCCAAAAAAAAACGATCCATCGTCTTTGGATCGCATTTCAAGTGCTGCCATTGACGTTTAATTGCCGCTTAACAAATTTATTCGGCTAACGCTTTTGTTTTGTTTTCGGCTTGGCTCCGTGAATAATGACAGTTAAAGCTTGTATACATTTCAAGAGACTTTGGTTCTTTTCGTCGAACTAATCGGCGCATAGGTAGAGGAAAAAGTTGAATCGAATCGGTAGACGCTATAGAGAATGAATTTTGTTTGTTATTTTTCTGTGTTTTTTGTTGTTTAGACTTGGACGGCTGCCGGTTGTATGGAAATTGGGTGCCCTTGGCTGACTTCCGCATTACGATGAAAGTGAATAGATAACAGAGGAGGAACAAAAGGTATTGGCTCGAATTCAGCTTCCTGTTCTTATATTGTGCTGTTCTGTTTTGATTAAAATGGTTATAGAGAAGTGCATCATATTAAATTGGCATTACAAAAGGATTCGAATTACTCGAGTTATAAGAACGTTTAGCTTCGTAAAGTGTTAAAAATAGTTTTTATTACCTCCCTTTCCGTTGCACAAATAGAACAAACCAACTAACTCTACAAATACCGGGCATAATAAAAACTGATCGTTATTTATAGCTATAAACATCTTAGCCGGTTCGTTTCCTGACAAAAAATACACACCCAACTATAATTAGAAATCTGGCAAACGAGTTTAAATAAATCAAATAGTCTAGGACCATTAAACACAATTTAAATATTGACCAGATGTCAAAGCAAGCTGAAATTAATTAAACACTGTTCAAAGTTCTCGGCTATTTTTAGGCTGCTCAGATTTGACTGTTTGCATAGACTAATCTCAGAGCCAGAGGTCTGCCAACACCTTTGGCATAATCAGCTAAAAGTCTGTGTTTCCAGCTTTATCCCCAACACACGCCGCCAAGCCTAATGAATATACAACGATTTTTTCCTGTTTTCATAATAATGTTTCGATATATGTAAGTATACGTAGCTATGTAGAAATGTGCATGGTTGGGCCATATCACTGGAGCCCCGAGCAGCCGACGTATCATATTACTAATCGCGGTTCTTTGTAACTGCTCGGTTCTATTTTTAGAACGCGCGAATTCAGAGAGAACAAAATTTATTGTTTATATAAAAGTTATCTTTAAATTATCATTAATTTATCGTGCATAATAAAGAGTGTGGTTCTCCATGTCAGCATATTGCCTGTCCACATGCGCCATGGATTTGTGGCTGAGTGTCGTTAAATGGCGCGAGCTTACAAATATCATATGCTGTCATAAGAGGTATGGCGTATGGCTCTGAGAAAATAATGAAACGAACCGAGAATAAAATGTGTAAATTACTGTAACAGTTGCTAATAAACAAAGGTTCGGCCCGAGCTAAGCGAAGACTTAGATTTCCGCATTGCCTCAGAACGATTTTAAGATTCGAATCCGAAACATCTTATCTTCGTCCCTCGAAAAGCTATACCCAGAAGCCTTTAATTTCGCACAACTTTTAATTGAGTTGGCAACAAGTTAGTTGTGCTGACTTCCTTGGCTCTCACTCTTGTACACTTTCTGGGAGCTATAAAAAAGAAACAGCGTTGTAACCATGAAATAGCCAATAGTTTTGTATTTGCATATCGAACCGAGTTTTTAAACTAAATTGCCAAAACGCTTTTGGCTCTACGAAGCTGCGAGGAAAGCAGCAGAAATTCGAGTGAGTTTGGACAGCCGCTGAATCACACTTTGACGTTGAAAATCGAGAAATAGACGTAAAACTTACAAACCTACTTATATACACATATCTGCGATAAATACTTATGTACGAGATATTGTATAAGAAAGTCGAGTTGTGTTCATTGCACTAATTTTGCACATGTTCGTTTTTCATTTATGATTAAATAAGCAATTAACACTTTTGGTAGATTGGATGTCGAGAATATTGAAAACGTTCTAAACGGCTAGAGATACACTACATGGACTGATAAGAGATCGATAAAAAAAGTTACCAAAAACTAAGTATTAACCACTTAGTTACATTTCAAGTAAGACTCAAAAACCATCATCCAAAAAACAACGTTAATCTCATTTTCACGATGGCTTTCTGCTTTAAAGTTTGAACATATAAATCACTTCCGAGAATTTATTATTCCAACATCCCTTTTACCTCAGATGATATAAAAATCAATATTAAAAAAAGCTTTACTCACGCGATATTTTTGTTGTATAATTTGTAATTTGTGTTGCAATTGTCGATGTAATCCCAACAACAGCTCCAAAGATTTTAATGTTGATTTAGCCAAATAACTCTTGCTACACTTGATGTGAAAAGCAATTTCGATTAAGGAGATATGTGGGTCGTGTTTCAGGCTGAACCATAAAGTCCTAGTAATCGATTTCAGTCCTTTCCGTTGATGGTATTATTAATGTTTACATTGAACTGGAGCTGCAAAAATACGAAATGTTTTAATATTTTTTCATGAATTAAAAATTGATAATAAAAAGTGTGTAAATATCGGAGGGAAAGCGCGATGAAGGTCGTATATATTCTCAATCTGATGGCCGGAAAACCGGCAATTAGCGAAATGCCAAAGTTGTTGAACCGAATTAAGTTGACCAATTTTACATAAAATGTGTGCGTATATTAAGGGGATTTCTGTTAGCGCAGCTTTTTGTCGATCCTACATAAATTAATAAGTTTTCAGACTTTAAAGTACAATTTGCATAAAGTTTACCGTAATTCTATTTGTAGTTAATCAATTTCCCGATTCATTTCAATTTAAATTCATTTATATATATATAGTAATTATAATATGTAAAAATGAATTAAAAATAGTACAGAAATTATGCAAAATTGTTATCTTTAAACTTTGGTCGACAGAATTAATTGATATGAAATTTATTATATTCGCCATAAAATAAGTTTGTAAGCTGAAAGTAAGCATTTGAACAGCTGTTGATGGGGTCTTAGTTTCCCTCGATGCATTTCATTTCACTTCCCATCCCCAGTTACATTTTTTCCGATTCACAAGCTGTTGCTCCACTCCCTTCGGATGTTTTCAGTTGTATGCAGTTGTCCCATCCAAGCAAAAGTTCACCAACATAATATTATTATTAATGTTTCACAACTAAAAATATGAAAAATAATAACATTTTTAACTTCCTTGGACCTTTAATAAATTTCTCATTTCAAATTACCCTTTGCTTACTTTAAAAGCGCACTCTGCACAATCCCTAACGATGTCAATTAAGTGACTGTTTGCAGTGGCAACAAATTAGCCTGAATCAACATGGCAAAAAGCTAAAAATATAAAGCAGAAAATGTAAGTGAAAATAATTTCCAAGCTTTTCTTTGGAAAAACGCCAACGCAGCATTCTTGCAGTGGGCGCACTACAGAGATCCCACGGATTATAAAGAGCTACAATAAGAGGGCCAATATTCAAAGCGTCCACCGATTAAAGCTGAATTGCAAATGAGAATAAAATGCGTACAAATATATCTTTTAAATCGAGTGGGAGAAAGGAAAATGTCAAACTGGTCTCAAAATGCAACCTTACGTAAAAGCAGACTTAATTGCAGGCTGCACCAAAGATAAAGTTATTAATAAGAGGTATTTAAATATAACTTGTATTAACTTACTAGGGTATTGATACATTGGTTTCAAAAAAATATTTTCTTTGATATCTGGAAGATCGCTCGGCAGCTTTCCATTAAGCGGCCATATGAAGAAGAACTGCTTGCTCTCTGCCGCTACACGTACAGTGTACAACTCAGACAAATGAGAAACAATTTGTGTGGCGATCGCTGATCTGCTATCTATAAAACATTCTTTAAACTACGCCTTAGTTTAGCTTTTGTTTTTCGCAATGAAAAAATGGGGAAAACTATTTCATCTGTTGCTCTGGCTGTCGCTCCATTTAAATTTGACTCGTGGTGGCCACGGTGCAACGGGCCCCTTTGACATTCACAATCAATTCATGTTAGCCAAACCTGCACCCACCACTCCCGGCTCGACCACTGCCACATATAGGACGCTATGTAGCTCGGTGACAAATTGAGTTTAAGCTGGTGTTGCCTTTTTTTCCGCGGGCCTCACATGAGCAGCACAGTGGGCGGGAACACGCCTACAACATAGAGCAGTGGCAGACGGATAGTAGATGCAAATTAAGTCGGCGAGTGGAGCAGAGTTAATTGCTTTCATGCAGCGCTGCAGCGCCTACTCTGAAAAGTATGCTAAGCAAACTTGAGCATTTGAGTTTTTCCAGAAAACTGAGACTACCACCATCCAAGTTATTAAAAAACTTTTGTGCAGTATCCCAGGTTATTCTTTTCCAAGTATATAATACCATACCCCCGCCGTTCTGACTTTCTTACATTCTCAAATTGGTGGCGAGAGAAAATTCGCAGAGCCCATAAAAATAATAATAAATTGTCCTTCTCTCTCGTTTGTGGCAAATTGCAGGACAAACAGTTGTTAAAAGCTCCAAGGGTCGTAAATTTATGGGAGGTGTTTGGGGGAGAGGGCAGTCGATACATTGTACTGGTGGGTATCCAGAAGTGTGCATATTGACTCGCACACCGCAGATCCCCCGCACTTTATCCGATGGCGATTAATGCTAATAGTAGAGCCCCGCCCAAAAATTAAGACAAACAAAGACAAGAACAAGCATGGGGGAGAAAACCCTTTGTGGACTTTCTACCGACTGGCTGGCGTCGTTTTCATCAATCTACTTTACTTACTTATTTGTTTATTAAACAAAAACACTCAAATTGCGACCAAAGACAAGCCCACATATTGTCAATGGCGAAGACGCAGAGAAGAAAAGCGGAAAATCAGTCGGCAGGGAAAACTGCCCTACAGGTAGGCGGACATTGATAAGGGCGAGTTCCTTGCATATTTTCATGGAAAATGGTTTCGCTTTTTGCGTCCCTGGCAGTCGAGGCCCAACGGCAAATTGACAAGTGGGCGGTGGAAAACGCGACATATTTGCAAAATTGTTTGCTTTCGCTGAAAAATAACTTACAAGCGAGCGAGGGTTGCTTTTGGAATAGCAAAATATATAGCAAATATATATATATGAATAAATGTAGAAGAATTTTACCTCAATACTTAAAAGGTGAAAACTTTATTAAGGTAATAGGTAATAACCTATGTTTATTTAAATGTTTTGTATATGTTCAATATATTATTAGTATGATTTACAAATTATTTTGCTTTCACCCAGTGGTGGACCAGAATTTGGTTGAGGGGTTATAAAAAAATTGTTAACTAGAAATCCAAAAAATTTGAATAAAATACATATGTATTACATATACTTTTTAACCGGAGTGGGGGATTCATCCCACGTGCTTACAGTCCTATATTATTCATCATTAATACGTTGTCTATTGAGAACTCAAGGTTTTCAACTGTAGCTGTAAAGGTTTTACAGCAAATAATTTATATCAAATTTTATCAGCAGTATTACAACACTAGAAGTAACAACTTATTTGTGAATCAATATAATATTGAAACCATTTGTCTACTAAATTGTACAACTGATCAACCGACCGCCACATATTCGCTTATCTGTTGCTTTCGCCATATTGAGGAACTTAATTTATGCACATGGGGGTTGGGGGTGTGGTCCAAAGGAAGTGGCAGAGGGCACTTCAAGACAGGAACTGGCAATCGTCACTTTCCGGGGAGGAGCAGGTGGAGGAAGCGAGGAAAACATTGCCTCCGGTCAAATCGACACCGTCTTGTGGCAGCGCCCAGAAACAACAAGTCGGAAAAAGCCATTAATGCCAAGTTGAAACAACATAATTTAGTGCCTGGCCTTTGGGCCCAAACATAAACAATTCCCGCGCAAAACGACTGAGCGACAAACGCGCTGAAAGGCCCCTAAATGGTTTCTTCTTGGCCAGAGGTGAGATTCGCAGGGAAACCGGAGGGCAACAATGTTGCCCAAATCGGCGAAAAGATTAGCAGCCTTGTTGTGGGTAGATTACAATTATGTAAATTCAGTTTCGGGTAAGTCAAGTTGTATGTTCATTATTTGCGGATTTCCAGGAATCTCAACACGCTTGAGCTGTGTGATTTAGGATAAACAGTGCGTAGTTGGAGGAAGAAAATTATTCTAGGGCCTTGTCAACAATGAAGCCAAATTTACTAAATAGTAGGGAAAATTCAATTTGGTAAATTGCACATATTAAGTTTACTTCAAAAAATATTTATTTAAAATACCTTTCTTGACATATTACAAAACAAAAAATGCAAAAGAAATAAGACTTTTGGAAAGGTTTTATCCCGATAGCTGTAAAACTTACTCGTCTAGTGATGCTGATCAAGAATATATATACTTTGTGGGGTCGAAAAAGTCTTCTTCACTGCGTTGCAAACTTCTGAATAAAATAATTATACCCTCTGCAAGGGTATAAAAACGTCACAATTTTGATGTTTTCTAAAACAAATTGTTGACTTTCGCATTGTGTTACATAAATTATCGGAAGCTAAGTTATTGCGAACAAGACAGATCCGAGTTTCGAACTTGACCAATGAAGTGCACTGACCTTTATTTTGCATCGCTTTTCGGTAGTCTTTTGTGGTCTGCTTTCATTTAAACTTTTTACTGCAGCTTTCGACCTTGAAAAGTTGATAAAACTTGGCTCAAAGGCCAGAAGTAAGCTTAATTGACGTTGAGGTACTTACTACTTTATTGCTAATATTTTAGTATTTGTGATTGCATTGGCCAACAATTTAGTTGTGTAGTTTTGACAAGCTGTCAACCAAAACTTAAAGGAGATGTCACACTACTATTTTGCTTGATTTGGCACAAGAGCCTGACTGGGAAATTCCCGCATAATTGGGCATAAGTGAATAAACAAACAGACGAACAATTATATTTAATTCCATCATAAAGCATTCTTGCACCAAGTCCACTGATTGTGTTTCAATGGTCTTTTGTCTGCGTTCTCCTCTGACACTTGTGACATGTCATGTCCCACAGGGTAATGCCATGAAACAAAAGGCAGCAGCAAAAAAGCTTTTCCATTGGCCAATCAAATTACTCCCAACTTTTGGGAGACCACAGAAATGCGTACAAAATTAATTTACCCTCGTTTTCATTTCACCAACTTTTTGTCAACGTTGACTATATGGGTGCTGGGTTTGAGTTTGCCTTTTGGCTATTAAAAAGTGACGATTTTTCACAAATGTTCACACTTGAATAATTCCGTAAAATTAAAATGGGTTTGCTTCTGTGGTATTACAAAATGAATGACTCTGCGTGTTAGTTATAAACAACCATCTAAGCTTCATATTGAAAAACAAGTAGAACAAATGGTAAAAACTGACTTTTTGACAGATTTAAACCTTTTACTGAACAAGCAGTGCTAAAAAAATGATTCTTAACATTTTTTATAATGCTTAAAAAGAAATTGCTGTTAAAAAATATTCACCACGA